GAGAAGCCAGCTCTTCGGGGTTAAAATTTAATACATTGTGACATTTTACTGATGTGTTTACATTATTCACCTCTTTGAGAGGTGGCATATACAGTGGACCCTCCAGATACGAACTTAATTTGTCCCGGGGGTCCATGCTTACTCAGAGAAGTCCACATCTGGAGGTGCCACTTCTGCGCACGCCACGAAACCTGGAAGTATACAGTTCCGGGTTTGCTGCGTTCGTAACTCGAAATTATGTTACTCAAAGGTAACGTAACCCGAGGTACCATTGTAATAAATATTTTAAATATTTATTCTAAGCTCTAAATATTCTGAGCTCTAACACTTGGCCAGCACCTCTTCATATTGAGAATTCTCTGCCAATAGCTTGGGATATAGCTGGCCCTTGTCCAGACTCAGCTATACAGCTGCAAATAAAACGTTTTAAGTGCAATATACAATGTGACACTAGATGGCGATGGTGAGCCTTATGGAGAATTCAATGTATTTTTAAAAATGCTTTTTAAAAAAAACATTTTCAGAACGGTTTCTATATGTGTGTAGATTCAACCACCGTCTCTGTCTTAACTCCTGGACTAAGTGCGTCTTTTACCTCTTGGAAGGGGCTAACAAATAGGTTCTTTTCTGGATTAAAAATTACTGAGATGGGTCTTTAACACTTTAATAATATTTAACATTTGTCAAGAGCTTGTGTGCATTTTCTAGTCGTAATCCTTATAACAACCCAGTAAAGGACCCCAGGATGGTTAAGTCCACTCAAAGGCAACTGTGGGGTTGCGGTGCTCATCTCGCTTTCAGGCCAAGGGAGCCGGCGTTTGTCCACAGACAGCTTTCCAGGTTATGTGGCCAGCATGACTAAGCCGCTGTAAGGCAAGTCAGGCAGGAAGACCAAGAGCAACGTTCCTAAAGGGAGGTCACCTAGTGAGTTCAGAGTCAAGATTCAAACCCTGATTTGTAGCTCAGTCTCTTTAACCACTGCACCACACCAGTCGTCTTACTTAAATTGTTTAGCCTGCTATTCTTTTTTAGTCCTACTGTAGCTGGTGGGCTGGACTACAGCTTCGCACTTTCTAAGTCTTCTTTCATCCTTCTTGTCAGGTATGTTTCCCGGTACCATGTGAAAGACTCTGCACGCCATGTGATCCTGGGCACCCAGCAGTTCAAACCTAATGAATTCGCCAGCCAAATTAATCTAAGCATGGAAAATGCCTGGGGCATCCTGCGCTGTGTCATTGACATCTGCATGAAACTGGATGAGGGCAAGTACCTCATCTTGAAAGACCCCAACAAGCAAGTCATCCGTATCTACAGCCTGCCAGATGGCACTTTCAGCTCTGATGAAGATGATGATGACGACGATGAAGAGGAAGAAGAGGAAGGTAATAAGAGTTTCACATGCCTTCTAGCTAAGCTTAGGCCTGAAACGACAAGTTTCTGGTCTTGCAACTCTTACGTTGAAAGAAGCTTGTGTGCTGGGAGGATAGCTTTCATTCTTCTGCAATCTGTCATCGTTTTGTCCAGATATAGCCACAGGAGAGTGCAGTGCAGCTTTCCCCCAACTTGGAGCCCTCCAGACACATTGGACAACAGCTCCCATCCACCCATCCAGCACAGCTCTGCTGATTGAAGCCGATAGGGGCTGCAGTCCAAAACATTAGGGGAGGCACCAGGTTGGGAAGGGCAAGCCCGTAAGTCAGGTGTATATGGGTGCCATTAACTCATAGGAAAAACCAGTCAGAGCCAACGGTGAGTAGAACCAAAACGGGCAGAATTTGCATGCAGTGTTGCAGGATTCTGTAGCATGCTGTCTATGCACCAGCCTATTCCTCTCTGTGTCACGTCACTAGTTGCCATCTGGTTTGCATCATAACTACAGATAAGATGGTGACCAGTAGTACATGTCACAGGAGTGATATAATGTGGATCTGAGCAGAATTTAAGTATGGCATATAGTTAACATTGATAAAGTGTTGACATGATTATGTTGGGGAGACCAATACCAGCTTACGGATTTTGTATGTTCCCTAGGATTCAGCTTTCTGTTTTACTTTTCAAACTGTGGCTGTACACAAGGCTACATTACAGATTGTCAGTTTCTTATTCTTGCTTACAAACCCCAAATTTTTTTTACAAAGCCAGAGGTATCTGATTGGTCACTGTGATCCAGCAAGCTCTTACGTTCTTAACATTGCTTGGAGTTCAATACTTGTGTTGTCTCTAAAGTTTAGATCAACTAAGGATTGTGTGGAAAGGAGAGCAGATGTTGTGGCCATGCTTATTTGTTCCGTGGTGTTTGCTTTTGCTTGGGATGGCAGCGAATGCACCATTGAAACTTCTGTTTATTTTTCAGAGGAAGAGAGCTGAACATTGCAGCCAGACAGCAGCAGCAACTGCAGCTTGAAGGCACAGCCAACATCTTTGTTCTTGGTGGACGGATCAGAATTGAATCTCATAGAACCTAAGGAATAAAAAATAATAATCTTAAAGCATTATCCTTTTTGTATAATTAATATGTGTAGTGAGATTGCCCCTAAACAAATTTGGAAAAGAAAATATTTTATGATTACCTGATCAGCCTTGTCCACTTTAAGGCTGATGTGTAGCAGAATCATCTGATTCAGTGTCCCCTGGACTGAACAACTTCACTCAGCAAGTGTGGAAATAAATGTTTCAATAGTCGCTTATGGGGGAATTCGAGAGAGTATAGAAAACTAGCATGCCATAGATAAACCTAGGCTGGGATCATTCTCTTTGCCCTTCTTGTTTTCTGTATGCAGGGAGTCCCCACTGCTAATGGGAAATTACTCAAGATAAAGAAACCTTCTGAAACAAGCAGTCTTTAAATGGCATGGCTCTAGGAAAAGCTGTATTATGGGATTCTTCTCTAACTGTAGATTGGCTCTTAGGCAAGCACAAGTTATTTGTAACTCTTCTCACTCTGTTGCAGAGCTTTAAAACTATCTTTTTAACTGTGTTATACAAAGGTTGAGAAGTGGGATAGTATAGGATTGTGCACAAAGCTTGATGGCAGGCTAGCTGGAACAATGTAATGAAAATGATGTTAAAACTACTGGCTCAGATCTTCAATGCAAAAATCATAAGAACCGATTTGTTTTTAGTGGCATTCACACTAAAGACTCATCAAAAGAAGAAATAATTTATACCACTAGCGGCTACTTCTGCCCTATCTAGTTGATGAATTAGGCATAATCTCTTCCTTTGTGCTTCTCTTGAGAATATGGGTTGAAATACAAAATAATTTTTTGTTTATCTTCTTTACCAAGCTGGAGAACAAAATAAAGGCAAAAAACCCACCCCAACAACTTTTAAAAGTTCAAAAAATGCAAGAAACCACATTAAATTATTCATTCAACCCGTATAAAAAAAACAGCAGCACTGCATAGAAAGCAACCCCATGAAGAGTCACCCATCTAGCTCGGTATTTTATATGTTGACTGGAAGTAGCTCTCAAGGGTTTCTGGCAGGAGACATTCCCAGCCCCTAAAGAGGCTGGGGATTGGAACCTGGGACATTTTTCATACAAAACATGCTTTTCCATTGAACTACAAATCTTTCCTGACTCTCTCTCCATTAAGAGTCATTTGGAACAGGTAGATTTTCAAAGCTCTTTTAAATGCAGCAACTATTAAAAGTTATAACCATTAGTAATTTAATTGATACCATTTGTAATCTTCCACAGCCTAAAGTGTGACTTGAATTGAAGCCATGTGCAAGAACCAGCTCTCTGTCAAATGAATGAATGTTTGTGCTGCAGTGCCAAAGGGGGTGATTGCTTGAACCTCTGTATGATGCTCATTAATGGCCTTGGCAAACAGACCTGGCTAGATGAGGGTACTGCAGGGTTTTCTCTAATCATATTCCAACAGCTCCCACGTGGACTTAATCTCTTTCCAGCTGCTGCAGAGAGGTGAACGTGTAAAGACCAAGGTTTCCTTGAAAGAACTGGGTGTTCTTTTATTGTCAAGAGGTTAGCTACCTGCTGCAGAAGATCCTAGCTGATTAGCATCTTGGATCCCCAAAACGCTTCCCAAGTAATAAACAGCCAGTCATTTCACCTGCCAATCAAATGTAATTACTCTGCCTTTTTAGCAATTCACAGCACTGAAGCAATGCACCACTGGTGGGTGCAGCATTTGCTGCTTTAGCAGCAAGGGAAGTTTTTTGTTTACTGCCTAGTGACCCAAAGACTGCAACGCTGTGCATGCTTGCTTTGTAGTAAGCCATGCTAAACCTGCACAAAATCGCACTGAGAGCAACAACTCGCAACAGAATGGCCTGAACTTCCTACTTTGGAAAGTAGGAATGAAAATGGCAGCAGCCAATTGCTCAGGTTTCTGGGGTTTAATTGCATCCTTGGGCTTTCACATTGACGTTTTTATCTCCATATTAGAGATTCAACTGAGAATAAGATTCTGCCTCAGTCACCTATACTAAATACAGATTGGGTGCTTGAATGGGGTTTCCGGCATCTTTCCGACACTGAATTGCTCTCTCTCAGCTCTGAGGTTGGGGAATGGGCTCGTAAGAGTTGGTATGGTGAAGACGTTGGGACATGAAAACAATGGCAATGCCATAGTGAGGCTATGGGGATGGAAAGAAGCAGCATAGGATTTTATTGCCAGAGAGAGAGAGAGTAGCTGTGGACCAGAGTCGGCTGTATCAAGTGAATGACATGGAGTTTTGCATCAAAGAAACGGCCACAAACAGGCTTTCTGCATCTGTACCTATTTTAATTCATGGCTTTTTGGCCCCATGGCTTACATTGTTTTCTTTTTCATAAATCCATGGTTTGGCAAGTACAATTTTGAGGTCAATTATGACCACTACCCTCGCATACTGGGAGAGAGGATCGATGTAAAATCTAAAGCACCTAAACACTAGAAACAAGTCGGTTTTAGATTCTAAAAGGATACTGCCAGGAACTAAATTATAAAGTATGTGAACGACTAAATACCATAGACACTTACCTGGAAGAAAGGCCCCTACTTTAAGTAGGAAGTGTATAGCACTCCAGAGGAGATGATGTATTAAGTCTCTTGCAGCAGAATACATGTGTCAGTCTTTTAGGGTGCCACGACAGCACCGTGAGCTTAATATAAAGGGCTAAAAGGAACATGTGTTCGTATCTTGGGTGCCACGGGCCTCTTCCGTCGTTTTGGGGTTTTTTTTTTTTGTGGCGGGAGGGGAGCGCATTTGGTATTTTGGCGTCTGCCCCTTTAAAAGCGACGCCATTCGGTTTCGCCCTCGCATCACGTGACCCGGAAACCGCTCTAGCGGCGCCTCAATAAAGGCGGCGCGGAAAGCTTTGTCGCGCGCTTCGAGAGGCGCCCGAGTCACGTGGCAAATCTGCCCGGATTGGGCGCCACGAGCGAGCGGGTTTGACTGGATAAAGAGGAGCAGAGAACAAGGCGGGTCGCCGCTCTGGCACAGCGTCTCGCTGCGATCTTTTAAGGCCCAGCCCTTACTCGGAGGACTAGAGCAGCACGCACTCTTATGACGAAGGTCCGCCGCGCGCCGCTGCGGGGCAGCCGCACGAGACTGAGACCTACCTGATCGCCTCCTCCCTTCGGCCGGACGCTCCAGGTACGTCAGCACGTCACGCACCAGGCACGCCGCTAAGCCTCGCCCCGCATCCCATTGGGCGGAGGGAAATGGTCACTGGGTGCTATTCCCTTCGGCGTCCTCTAGGAGGCGCGTCAGGTTACTGGGGGAGGAAAAGCTTCAGCCCCATTTCCATGAGGTTGGTTCATGTCGCTGCTAAACGATAAGTTCCACCAGGTTTAGGCCCCTGACCATGGACTGTGCTGACTAGGACTGATAGGAGCAGGAACCCAGAAACATGTGCAGGTCCCTTAACCATTGGCCTAGCATTTAGGCTTATAGCCAATCCTCCTTGGCTAACTTCTCTTCTCCCTGAGGGGAAATAAGCAGTGCAGTGAGCTCCACAAGCAGGATAAGGGTTGTTCCTGTTTCCCAGGGGTGATGTGTTCGCTTCTTCAGCAGAAGGATTATGTTGTTGCCCTCCTTCTTCCTCCATATCTGTTCCAGGGTGTTGCATGAACATTCCTGCATTTGCAATGTGAATGCAAAAGCTGAACATAAGTTCCATTGAAAATGGCTCTCTTTTGCTTTCCGTTCAAGCACTGCCATTCGTACGTACGCACACTTCTTAAAAGTTAGCCTCCGAGACTCAGAATGGTATTTATACAGTGGTGCCTCGCAAGACGAAATTAATTCGTTCCGCGAGTTTTGTTGTCTTGCGATTTTTTTCGTCTTGTGAAGCACGGTGTCGGGAAAGTTTTGGAAAAGCTTCAAAAATCACCAAAGTCTTTAAAAACCTCAAAAAAGGCTACCACACCGCGTTCTATGAGTTGCTCCTCGAAGTCAAGTCGCAACTGTATTAACGGTGTTAAGAAAAAGGAAACAAACTTGCAAGACGTTTCCGTCTTGCGAAGCAAGCCCATAGGGAAAATCGTCTTGCGAAGCAGCTCAAAAAACAAAAAACCCTTTCGTCTAGCGAGTTTTTTGTCTTGCGAGGCATTCGTCTTGCGAGGTACCACTGTATGACAAATGCATATTTACGAAGCACTCAGTGGTAGGGTGGAAGATCTCTGGTTCAATGCCATCCAGCAGTTACTGCTGCTTAGAGTAGATGGAATTGAGCCCGTATGGAATCAGGATGAGTTCTCTTGTCTGTTATGTAAAGCAAGTTTTTGTGCCCATATGAACAATTTCGTAAGCTCAAATTTCAACATCTATGTCTGGGTGGGGGAACCTTTGGCCCACCAGATGTTGCTGAACTGCAACTCCCATCAACCTCCTCAAACTTGGCCAACCACATAAAAACAAAAAAACTTGGCCAACAACATGTAGTTCAGCAACATCTGGAGGGAAAACAGTTCCCCATGTTTGGACCACACAACTCATTAAAAGTAGCAGGAACACTCATCGTTTTCATCTCGCCACCCTGTGTATCATCCTGCTGAAAATTATTCCCACAGATAATTGGTTGACGAACCATATACTGCAATACCTTAGTAAATGGTCATTTTATCCAGGGTCACGTGCAGCATTATCCCAAAACCAGTGAAGTTATGGGCTTGTAAAATACACATGGTGACAAGAGAACATACCATTCTATCTCTACATTTGGCAGTACCAAAATGAATGAAAGAACGAACTCCTTGTCATGGGAACTAAGGACATGGTGGCAAAGGGCAGCACTTAAAAAGAGGAATGCACTCACTGGTAGTTAGAGAGATTTTGTAGTGAACAGCAGAAATGGAAAAATGTGGAGAGGAGCCAAAAACTGCTTGTCTTTCAGCCTAGTCCAGGGAGAGGCCCTGCGATCCCATCTCTCTCCCTCTCTTGCAGCCTGATGGAATGGTTGCTGTACATGACAGTGGATGCAGATAGGGAATAAAGCTGATTGATATGGTAACAATACATTCCATAGGGGCCCAGGTAGCAGGCCTCTATAGGCCATATGCGTAGCATTCATGTGTCACAAAAGATACCATATGTGAGGTATATCAAGAGTATGCAAGCTCATTTTGTAACACATGTAGTGGCCTTTTGTGGGTGGTTCTCAGGCTTTGTCACCATCCCCTCCTGTCTGGATACATCCCCATAGAAGAGGGGTGGGAAACCTGTGTCCCTCTAAGTGTTGCCACAACTCCTATCATCGCTGAGCATTGGCCATTTAGGATGGAGCTAATGGTGGTTGGAGTCAAACAATAGCATATCTAACACCAATCACTCACAGCACAAAACTATTTGTTGACCTGACAAAAACAGGTCTAGAAGGGTGAAACTTTTCTTTAGAAGTGTGAGCTTTCAGGGCAATATGATTTGCAGTGGCGTGGAGCAGAAATGATTTTCAAATAGGACACTTGCCTATCTTCTCACCCTTGCAGCTCCTGTCTGTGGCTGGAATATGGTTCCTCAGCAGAAGATACTGATGTGACTGCTACTTGCATATCCCACTTTGTGGTCTGGACTGCAGCACCTTGGGAGAGGAGACAAGACACAAAGCTGAGCCTATGATGTATACCATCCTAGTTCCAAATAATTAAGCACCCTTAGGAATTCTCATTGAACTTATTTTAACTTGAGTCTTTTCAGCTCTTAGAATTGCCTTGAACAGATTTCACCCTGTTGGCCACTAGTATGATGCCATCTCCTTCGAAGTGTGTGCAAGAACTTCTGTTAATCTTTGCCTTCAGTTTGGCCTCCTGCAGGGCTACTGATGCCCTGTACCATGACTACTGTGTCATTGGGGCTGGCCCCGCGGGCTTGCAGATGGCATATTTCCTCCAACATGCAGGCCGAGACTATGTGGTCTTTGAGCGCAGCCATGCGCCCGGGGGCTTCTTTGCCCTGTATCCACGCCACCGGAAGCTTATTAGCGTCAACAAGCGTTACACTGGCAAATCCAACAGTGAGTTCAACCTTCGCCATGACTGGAACTCGCTACTCAGCCACAACCGCCGGCTGCTCTTTCGACACTACTCCAAGGACTTTTTCCCAGACGCTGATGCCATGGTGCGTTACCTGGGGGACTTTGCTTCCATGCTGGACCTCCAGGTGCATTACAACACGTCCATCACCCGTGTGATGCTGGAAAAGGACATTAAGGCATGGAATGGCCATTTCTTCATCCTAACTGACCAGAATGCTCAATTTTATAAATGCAGGTGAGTCATGAAGAAAACCTACTTAGAGGAGGAAAATGTTCACATGGCATAGCTCTGACTGGGCCTGATTGTGAAAGTGTAATTTCCTATAGAACCTACAGCCCTCCAGATCTTCTTGGACTCCAACTCCCATCAGCCCCAGATGACACGGCCAGTGTCAGCAATGATGGGAATTGGACTCCAATGACATATGGAGGGCCACAGCTTCCCCAGCCCTGCTGTCTAGCCTGTGATAGCTTTGGAAATTGGAACAGATCTTCTGGATTGGCTATGCCTTCAGCAAGCCTGATCGAAATCCTTACTATATGTTTCAGTGTCCTATTGGTAGCTACAGGAACGTGGGTTCCTAACAAAGTGAACTTCCCCGGTTCAGAATATGTTGAAGGCTATGAGTCTGTCTCCATCGATCCAGAAGACTTCGTTGGCCAATCTGTACTGATCTTGGGCCGAGGAAACTCTGCCTTTGAGACAGCGGAGAACATTTTGGGCGTCACCAATTTCGTGCACATGGTGGGCCGCTCTCGTGTTCGCCTTTCCTGGGCCACTCACTATGTTGGAGATTTGAGGTAAGAACCTTTTGTCAATGAGAAGTGACTACTGAACATCCCGGGGTGCCCTAAAAGCTGTGGGGAAAGCATCATTTAACATCATTTAAGAGAGGCGTGGGCAATGCCCAGCATGCTAGGCCCCTTAATGTTGGCTCCCAGGACTCTCCCAAAGCCAGCCAGCCAGCCTGCCTTTCCTAACCTGGTGCTCTCCAGCTGTTCTGGACTACAGTTCCCTTCAGCCCTAGTCAGCACAGTGCTAGCTGAGGCTGATGGGAGTTGTAGTCCAGATGGGCTACTTTCTGAAATGTGAACTAAAAGTGACTACCCCCCCCCCAAAAAAAAGGTTAAAAACAAGAGTAAAATCAATTGTGCGTTTATCCTTGGTCTTTTACAAGTCACTGTTCTCTTAAGTGCTTTTCCATTGTGTTCTCAAAAGAACACACAATAAATGCTGTCAAACAAAATTTGGACTTCCTCCTCCCCAGCATTATTAAAACCAATACAGAACATGACTGCATAGAAGGCGTGCCTTACACCAGGTTCTCTACGCCGGCTGGCAATGATATTTCCACAGTTGGCATGAAGAGCGCTAAATCCCATCTGTCTTGTGACCCTACGACTCTTGGATTCCCAGCTCCCTTTATCTGTACTACACTTGGAAATTCTCTGAACGTGGAGCCATTTTTAAATTTATGTAACCAATAAACGCTCCCTTCCTTAGAGCCATTAACAACGGCCTCCTGGACACGTATCAGCTGAAGTCCCTGGATGGGCTTCTGGAAGGTGACTTGGAAGACTTGGTTCTCGTCAAGGATAAGAAAGGAAAGCTGCACATCACCCTCCGCTTCTACCTGGAGAACAGCAACAGCAGCGAAGCAGAGTCCATCCTCCTCCCTCAGGACGAGCTGGACAACTTTGCCACTCGAGCACCTTACGACCGCGCCATTGGCTGCCTTGGCTGGAAATTTGACTTCTCCATATTCAACAAGTGAGATAGGCCTGGGCCCAAACTGACAGGGAGGATGCATGAGACCAGGGGGCGTAGGGGCTGGGCAGGGGGCATGGCTGAAAAGTTCTGGTTTGGACTTTGGCTGAGATCCTTTCAGGCACATCCATAACCTTACTCTATCTCAGACTGTCTCCATTTGCCTTTTCCCCACCCCACACAGGTCTGTGGGGCTGATACCAGGCAAAGGCAGTAAGAAGAAGTATCCTCTGATCAAGCCCAGCTACGAAGCCAAAGCCACTCGGGGCCTTTTTGTTCTGGGAACCGCAAGCCACTCAGTTGACTTCAGGAAATCTGCTGGAGGCTTCATTCACGGGTTCCGATACACAGGTGAGCTTGGAGACATGAGTGGGTTGTGGAGAAAGCCAACGTCAGCCAGCCAGCCCAGCACTGAAGCTGCTCTGGTATGGGGTGTTTCTCTTCTTTTTATTATTATTAGTTTTGGTAACTGAATTGAACAACGCAACACTTGTTATTGTCTTTATTATGAAAATTAACATTCCGCCCTTCCTCCCAAAGAAGGCCAGGTCAGCAAACACACAAGCAATAAAACAACGAAAACGCCTGAAAAACAGCAGATGCAGACTGTTGTTGTTTCCAAAGTGTACTAACAACAGAAATGCTACTATAAATAAAGGGAAATAACATAGGACCATAGAATTTTAGGGCTGGGAAAATTCATTATATATTGCAACTTTATGTGGAGTTTGTGGAAATTTAATAATTATACACACACACACACACACTGGTACCTCGGTTAAGTACTTAATTCATTCCGGAGGTCTGTTCTTAACCTGAAACTGTTCTTAACCTGAAGCACTACTTTAGCTAATGGGGCCTCCTGCTGCCGCTGCGCCGCCATTGCACGATTTCTGTTCTCATCCTGAAGCAATGTTCTTAACCCGAGGTACTATTTCTGGGTTAGTGGAGTCTCTAACCTGAAGTGTATGTAACCTGAAGCGTATGTAACCCGAGGTACCACTGTATATATGAATTTTAGAGTTGGAAGGGACCTTGGAAGTCCTTTAATTCAACCCCCTGCACAGTGCAGGAATCTTACAACTGCAGCATCCCTGAGAAGTGACTTCTGTTTACAGACCTCCAGCAAATGAGAGTCCACCACCTACCAAAGCAGTCCGCGTTCCACTGTTAACAGTTCTCACCTGCCTCTGGAGCAGTAGAGGACATTGCGTGAAGATCATTACAAGATGAGAGGCCTTTACCTCTTTATATCAGCTGAGAAACTTTTGGTCCTCCAAATGTTGGCCTATGGTCAGTGAGGATGGGAGTTGTGGTCCCACATCATTGGGGGGGGCAGACTCCTTACCCCTGGTTCCAGTTAAAATTATGTTATCATTTACAATAGTGAATGAAGAGTAACCAGCATTTTATGTCCTCCTTTCTCCTTAGCTTGTAAGTACATTTTAAAGTAATCTCTCTCTCTCTCTCTCTTTTCCTACCCACCTCTCGCAGCTCGAGTAGTTCATCGCTTATTAGAAGTCCGTCACCACGGAGTCCCCTGGCCATCCTCCCTCTACCCCATTATGCAGCTAACGAATGCCATTGTCAAGCGAGTGAATGAGGCATCTGGGCTCTATCAGATGTTCAGTGTGCTAGCGGATGTCATTCTGCTAAAAGAGTGAGTGAGTAGCGCTCCCTTCGTTTCCTTCCTGTGGACCCTAGAAATATATCCTAGCAGCACAATTCCATCCCCTCTTCCATTCCTTGCTTTGCAGCCTCAAGACATTCCGGGAATCCAGGAGGAAGGGAGCCAAACACACATCCCATGAAATAGTGTTCTAAAGCTCTGGCAGTCAAGAAGGCCCATCCTTCTTGTGGGGGCCACTCTGACCTCTGGGTGTGATGGATGGGACCTGAAGCCTTGGCTGTTGTTAACCCAGAAGCAGCCAATTTGATGCCTTCCAGAGGTTCTTGAACTCTAGCTCCCATCAAGCCCAGCCAGCATAGTCAGTGGAAGATGGGAGCTGTGATCCAGCAACATCTGGAGAACCAGGGGTTTCCCATCCCAGCATTTCAGGATAGTTCATTTGGAATAGGCAGGTCCTTGCGGTACCAGGGACCCAGACAGCATAGGACTAAGCCAGCACCTGGAATTGGGCCCAGTAGGTGTTTCAGAGCAGGTGTAATATGACTCTGCCAACTCCTACCCAACACAAATAGGATGGTAGCAGCTGCAATTTTTTATGCAATCTTATACTGTGGCCTTGAGTGAGACTGTCTTGTCTACTCAGTACTGCCTGCCCTGACTACCAGCCTTGCCTTGAGATTTCATGTGCTCTGCCACTGAGCTACAACCCTTTCGCATGGGCAGCCTCACATGGTCATTAAGGCATGAATGAAATTATTCAGATATCTCTTCTAGCAGAGGGCACATTGTACCAGCCTTCTAGACAATCCTAGAATAAGAACACAAGCAGAACATCCTGGCTCAGACCAGTGGTCAGTCTGGACCAGCATCCTATTCCCCCAGTGGCCAACCAGATTCTTGTGCGAAAACCATAAGGAAGATTCAAGCACAAAAGCACTCTCCCCTCCTGTGGTTTCCATCACCTGGGATCCAGAAGCCTTAAGCCTTTGACCATGGAGGTGGAGCATAGTAGTCATTGGCTAGTAGCCATTGCTAAAAGTAAAGCAAGGTCTAGGACCCCCAGCAAGCTGTGAAGCCAGTGTTCCTGGGTGGAAGAGTGCAGTCTTATCTAGTCCTCTGAGCCCACCAGCACCTGCATGTTCTGCTAAGTGAGCCCAAGACTATTTGTTCTGGTTGTGCCTAGGAATGCCACAGAATTTGAGTACCTGGAGGAGTATCCGGTTGGGGTCCTGCAAGACCTGGAATGGCGCACGGGAAAAAAAGTTCAGAATGGGCTTTTTGTCATTGTGATGGAGTATGGGAAGAATTTTTCTGGAGCTGACAAGGACGTCTTCTATTACAACCGTGCTGTGGGTGAAGCACGCCATGCTTGGCAGTCCAATTTCCTGCATCCTGTCATTTATTACTACAAACGCCTCCCTACTGGTAAGCAAAGTGGGTTTTCAGTTCTTCCTGCAAGCATTCCTGCTTTTCGTTGTTGTGCCTCTCTAACCATTTTGGGGGGGGAATGTTAGAAACCTTGAGTCAGGCTTGGGAAACATCTGGGCCACCATGTCTTCCCACCCCACCCGGCCCCATCTCCTTCAGTTCTTTCCTGCTGCTTTTTGAAGTGATGCCTCCATTGCTGCCTTCCTCTTTTGTTAACTTTCTCCATTCCTCCTGTCCTGCCTACTTGCCCTCGATTCTCTATCCTGAATGTACTTTTATGTTTGGCGCTCCCAACCACTCTCCCAACAGAGCGTGAAATGAGGCTCTGCCCACCAGACTGGCCCTTGCCCCGCCCAGACGCCATCCATCACATTGTGGAGGACTTTCTGACAGACTGGACCGCTCCAAATGCCCACATCCTCCCGTTGAGACGGTTCTTGGAGAATTGCTTGGAAACTGACCTGCGCAGATTCTATGCAGGTAACCGGCGGACTGGCTGACTGGAAACCACTGTGTAGTGGGGTGAGGGGGGGGGAGAAGATGGTGGAGGGGAGCCAGTTAACAACTAAGGAAATATCAGGGTTTGAATCTGGTGTCTTCTCTTACCACTGAGCTACAGCTCCTTCCCCTAAGCCATTTAGTGTTTTCTGCTTAGGAAGTGAGTTACATACAAGTAACCACCAAACTCCCCCTGCCCCAACTTGTAAGCTAAATACAGTGGTACCTCAGATTAAGTACTTAAGTCGTTCCGGAGGTCCGTTCTTAACCTGAAGCACCACTTTAGCTAATGGGGCCTCCTGCTGCCACTGCGCCGCCGGAGCACGATTTCTGTTCTCATTCTGAAGCAAAGTTCTTAACCTGGAGCACTATTTCTGGGTTAGCGGAGTCTGTAACCTGAAGCGTATGTAACCTGAAGCGTATGTAACCTGAGGTACCACTGTAGAGAAATTTAATCAGTGTTGGTGGAAAATATTCATATTACCAATCTCTTTGATTTGTAGGTTCAGGCTGGAATTTTTTAATTTAAAAGTTCGTAAGGATGGTAACACTCATTAGGATGTTAATGTGGAACATTTCCCCCTTTTGTTTAGAATCCTGCTTCCTGTTCGCCCTCACACGTCAGAAATTGCCTCCCTTCTGCCAGCAGGGATATATGAGAATGCAAGGGCTCATGGGTAATGAGAGGCTTAGTCGTCATGGAGTAGAAGCAGGACTGCTTGAAGACTACACTGCTGTGGACTCCCCAGATGAGCGGGAAACTGGCAGTACACAGTCACATGACCCGCTGTTGGAAGATCACATGATACCAAACCACCAGCTGCAGCATCTTATAAGCACCAAGGATGAACTTTAGCCTTCCTTAGACTGCATCAGAAACCACAAGGATTGTGGTCACGGTACCATGACATAGACCTCTCCTGGGGCTCCAGCTTCCACTGCGTATACTTGACTTGGATTCCTGCCCATTCCTTTATGGGGGACCATGACTTGCCAAAGACTTGTGTAGATCTGTTGTTATTTATGAAGAGCAGAGTCCTTTACACAGGATAAGTGAGGGCTGAAACTGGGTAATGCTGAGGCATCCTGTCGCTCCTGTTCACTGTTGTAGCCTGCTGATGGTGTTGCGTTTCTGCTGTAGGGGCCAGTCTCTAGCTTGTCACAAGGGAGAAAAAGGGATGGCACAGATGACTTGCCACGAAATATTATTCCTGACTGCATGTTTTGTGGTGGTCCACAGCAGAAGTCATTGGTTATGGATGCTATGTGTTGTTTTGTCCTTGCATATCCTTGCAGATTCTGTATGTGCATGACTTTACAATCAGTTCGGTAGTATTGGCTAAAGGAATGCTGCTAATGTGTAATGCAGGGAAATATTATTGTATCCAGGAAAAGAAGGGGGATGTCTCAAGACTCTGCTAAGGATGAGCAGCTAGACCTGGATCCCTTTGTTCCATGTTTGAGAAAATGCACTGCTGCCACAGTCCTCAGCTTGTTCTGCAGAACTGGCATTCTTGTGTGCCAGCTTGCCCTTGAAAGGAAGGAGAATTCCTGCACACTTAACAAAATCTCTCTCCTGTTTGCACTACACCCAGTTAGAAAGCTCCCTTAATTCAGTTCAGTTGTGATGAATTTTTATTTTCTATTGTGTTTGTATTTGTAACATCCTATTTTTTTAAAAAAATGCAAGAGTAGGTAGGAAAACTATCTGCACTTTATTGCACCCCTACACACTTCCAGCAGACCAAACTGGAAAGAGTCCGTCTCTTATCTATATTCCCTTGCTCTTTAGCAGATGGACAGAATAGCCTTCTTCCTGCCACAATCATGGCACTTGTGCTTCCTGGGGAGACACCTTTCCAGCAACTGATGCTCTTTGCAAGGGATACACTTTAGCCCTATTGCTTTATTTATAAATACTTAAACCTCATTTCTTGCCTACCATTTGGTCTGGAGAATTGAAATGAAAAGGGGTCCTATGCCTAACCAAAACGCTGCTGCAAATTTAGAACTCTGCAGGATGAACTTACAGGTTTAGGGCACATGGAAGGGAAGGACCCGTGACACAGCGGCTGCACATGTTTTGCATGCAGACAATCTCTGGGCCCAAAGGCATCACTTTTTTTTATTCTGTCTCTTAAGTGACTCTTTAAAACCAGAGATCCTGGTTTAAAACAAACTCTGGATAAATAGGCTGGCTTCTTGGCCTGTGTTTTGAAGTTGGCTTGTTTTGAAACTGAAAATAAATTGTTCTAAACCAGGGTATCTAGTTCATTCATAATGAGCCAGGATTCTGCAAAACTGAAAGTAAACACTGGCAAAATGCTTCACCAGGCTGCATTAGAGGAGAAGGGGAACAAGCTCCCATTGGCACATGTAGCACTAAAAACTATGTCTAATACTTTTCTAGGTCTTTTGCACTTAGGGGCCTCTGGCTAAGTTGGTGCATGTGATGATCATACATCTGTCATACTGGGAGATTTGAATTCCTTATCTAAAAGATAGTGCAGACTCAGTATATACAGCTTTATTCTCTCCCTCTCTGCTTATATTCCTGTAATTACTCCAAAGAACCTATTGACAGTATATGTGTTGCCTTTAACTGGTGGTTTTCTTTTTAAAAAATGCTTTAGAAAGGGGTCATTTTCTGTCACCCTTTTCTCTGTGTGTCTTGGGGTAAAAGACAGATGCAGTACCAAGAGAGGGATCACCTTTGTTCAGTTCAACCTGAGGCCACGCCAGAAACCTGCAGGACTTTCTCGCTTGAGAGTGTGCCACTATCAAGCTACCGCCATTCCTCTCAGCGTTTTGTTCATCATCCTTAACAAGGTACTCAGATTGGTGGTCAACTAAGCTTGACTCAGAGTAGACTCATTGAAATTAATTGACTTAAAATCATTGTAGAGTTGGAAGGGGCCCCCAAAGTCATCTAGTCCAACCTAATATAGTGCAGGACTCACAGCTAAAGAATCCCTGACAGATGGCCAAACAGCCTCTTTTTCAATGGACGAGAGTCCATCGCCTTCCAAGGTAGTCTATTTCACTGTCATGTTCATTCATTTCAGTGGGTCTGTTGTAATGGCTTAGTTGAATACCACCCTCAATCATCTTCTTCTTCCAGGTTTTGCTGCTGTTTCCTAAGTGTAATCAGTACAGCCCAGAACACAGATTCATCATGGCCAAGGCTCAAATTAATACAAATGTGTCAGGGGTTAGGGCTGGAGATTGCAAAAGTATTGCTTCACCAGCCAAAGCCAGAGTTTACCAAAATCAGTGATTTTGCAAGACATTCTTCAGAGAGGATGGGCTTTGCTACTGCTCCACAGAGACTATGCCCTTGCTGTTTGCCAGGTTAGAATACCTGAGTAGCTCAGCAACCCATTACTCTGCTGTCAGTGCCTAGGTCACTTTCAGATTATTTGCACAGAATTTAGTGGTCCTGTGGCAGACTGGGAAAGTCGCAGTTTCTTTTTTATGTGTTCATTTTTTCAGAACAGTATTTTTATTAACTTATTTTAAGATACATGTCATGATCAAATGGATCAGCTGTTGTAATGGTGTAGTATATTGCATATAAGTTTTGTACGGTTGTATTATTGTGATGAACTTTAAAAGAAAAAAATTGTTTTCCAACCCCACCAACAAAAGTAGTGTCTGTCTTTGCTCAGCTGTGGAATGGGGAGGGTGATTCATAAAGCTTGGCATTGGACCTCAGTGTCCGGGCAGAACAATGGGGATGGAGACGCACCTTTGGGTATACTGGGCTGAGGCCGTTTAGGGTTTTGAATTGTGCTCGGAAACGTATTGGGAGCCAATGTAGGTCTTTCAGGACTGGTGTCATATGGTCTTGGCAGCCACTCCCAGTCATCAGTCTCGCTGCTGCATTCTGGATTAGTTGTAGTTTCCGGGTCACCTTCAAAGGCAGCCCCATGTAGAGTACATTGCAGTAGTCCAAGCAGAAGATAACCAGAGCATGCACCACTCTGGCGAGACAGTCCGCGGGCAGATAGGGTCTCAGCCTGCATACCAGATGGAGCTGGTAGACAGCTGCCCTGGACACAGAACTGACCTGCGCCTGCATGGGCAGCTGCAAGTCCAAAATGACTCCCAAGCTGCGCACTTGGCTACACAGGGGCAGTTATCCCATTCAGGACCAGGGAGTCCTTCACACCTGCCCACCCCGCCCCCCATATAACTTGTTTTGAACCTTCTTCACACCTCCAAATAAACAAGGAATCAAACAAGCAAAGACGTCGCCATGTTTGGTTTTTTTAATGCAGTTTTTAATTGTTTTCTATGGGCAAACTTTGTGTAGCAAAAATGGCTACACAGTGAAACACGAGTGTAGGGAGCACAGCGCAGGTGTCGCTACGTAGTTTTCACAAATCGACCTAAAACTTTGAACTTCATGGATAACTCTTTTCTCTGAAAAAGCCCTGAAAATCCATAAAAGTTCATGGAGAAACACTGTAGCTCGCCTTTAGATCTGAGGATATTTTATGCAGTAATGTAATGGTGGTAGGAAAAAAGTCCTCCGTCCTAGGGTCAGCGTGCACTGCCAGAGAGCAGCAGCACAGTACTGGGTTGTATAGGAAGTTTTACTTTCCCACTGAGAATCTGAAACCTTTTGCCAATCTACTGCGAACCACCCCCAAGATCTACAAATAGATTCCGATCAGCCTTCTGCCCTCCCTGCTTTATTCTATTCTAACAATCAAAGCGATCCTCTGATGAAGGGCGGTATAGTAAGCAAATAAGTAAGCAAACAGACAGACAGATAGAGCGTCTGACAATAAACAAACATGCAGCTTAACTGATTTAAGCCAAGATAACGGTGCGCTGTTAGGAGAGTCGGATGGGCGGGGTGTAAATAAAAAAAATATTATTTTTATTAACCCTGAAATGAACAAGCTGGGAACCCGCCTTTCCTACCACCTCCCTAGGCACATCCTGTGTACTCTGACCTTGGCTTCCCGATGCGAGGAACGAGGCCACAGCGCTGACGCAGATTCCTGCTTTCGACTGGCACTTTTTAGCCAATCAAACCCGAGGCTGCGTGAAAACTCCGACTCCCCAGCGTTCGGAGCGGCGGCGTTTTAACCAATAAGCGCGCGGAAGACGCGCTCCTCTGAGGGCCGAACGCGCCCTCCTTAGCCCAACCACGTCCCAGGTTTCTCAACAGCTTCCCTTTCGCCAGCCAATCATCCAGCTAGAATGCATACATTCCTCCCACGGCCGCTCCAATCGGCTGGCAGGAGAGTCCGGCCCGTCTGATTCCACAGTGTGGCGGCCGCGAGACACTGTAAAGAGGGGCTGAAAGGTGAGAAGGTGGAAGGGAGAAGGTCGCGCGCGGGGGGGGGGGGTCGTTGTCCCGCCTGCACAGCAGATGGGGGCCTGTGCCTGTTTACTCACGAGTAACACTTTCTCCGCTGGACCGGAGCTAGTAGAGGAAATGGAGGAGGTCAAGTGAAACGTGAATTACTTGTGATGGTTACCATTATTATATTACTTCAACTTATATCCCGCCTCCACCAAAGAGCCCAGGATGGCAATTAGTTAAGCGGCACTAATAAGCTGGGCTTCATTTCAACCAGTTTGTAGATCAGACGAGATTGCCTCTGAACATGTGCAGAGTGCGCTTTTCTCACCCTTCCGTAACCGCAGCCTCTGGTTGAGGCCGGCGGAGGGGGTTTCTCGGATCGCGAGTCTTGAGGCCATGGGTTAGATTCCGAGCTTCAGTTCTTCCTGTTCTAGAAATGAAAATAAAAGCTGTGGAATGGAAGCAGCCTTGCCAGCTCAGTTTCAGAAAAACGCCCGTCTCCTTCCCGATTACCAAATGCACAGGAATGTAACGGATGGAACTCATCACTTTCCTGCCCTATCAGGAAAATTGTTCTCTCCCCCCACCCCTTGGTATATAGGTGCCAAAGTTAAAGGTGCAGGGAGCTGGCAAACTTGGTTAGGAATTAAGCTGACTGGAGGGTAACCAGGGTAGGACAGAAGGTTAGAAATATATATCCTTCTGTTATATTTCAATGCATTTAGAGCAGTTAAATATCAACTGCATGTCAATAATGAGTTTGACCAAACTGCGGGAGGCAGTGGAAGACAGGAGTGCCTGGCGTGCTCTGGTCCATGGGGTCATGAAGAGTCGGACATGACTAAACGACTAAACAACAACAAATGTTTACCTAATACTGGGTTTTAATATTGTATTTGAATAATGCAACATTGCCTGCCTTTACTTAAGAAAATATCTTTTTAATCATCTGCACTAAATTTGCAAACTTTGGTGTTTTGAAAGTTAAAATGTTTTATAAAAGGGTGGTTTGTTACAGAAAACATCCTTTATTGCATGTAAATGTGTTTTAGGAAAACACATTTTGAAGCAGATGCAATCAAAATTTGTTTCAAGGTGGGTGGGTGGTGCTAGGCCAAACCAACCAACCAACCAACCAACCAACCAACGAGGCAGACCTCATAAAGTGCTAAAGAAAACATATTTGTTTGGTTTGTGTTCTGCTTGTATTTTGAGGCAGTAAATAAAATAACAATTTTCCCATAGCATCCTTTATGAGTATTTTGGAAGGGACCTCATATGTCATTTAGTCCAGCCTATTGATGCAAGAAATTTGGTAGCTTAGTGCTGTTGTTTATCTGAGATTGGTGAAAATGCCCTCCTACTCTTCTGCATACTACTAGCCCCTATGGAAGTGCCTTGCTGCTGTGGGGATAATAATCTTACAGGACTGTTGTGAAGCTTGCTGAGGTAATGAGTAATAGAATTATAGAGCTGGAAGGGACCATGAGGGTCATCTACTCCATCCCCCGGCATGCAGGAATCTTTCCCCCAATGTGGTGCTCAAACACACAACCCTGAGATTTAGAGTCTTATGCTATACTGACTGAGCTTTCCCAGAATACATGTCAAGTGTTTTGAACACTCAGAAGAGCTAGCTGTACTACAGTAGTTTGTACCATAGTTGGTGCATATAAGTGTTAGTTGAGCAGCCGGATTGTGGTTGTCAGGTAATGAATTTTAAGCATAACCAAAAATGAAGTTGGGCAGGTTGCTTTCTACCTATCACACAATCAGTTGTGCCTCACAGGTTGTTAGGATCAGAATGGTAAAGCATTTTCCCACACTGAGAAACCCAGCCGAAATCACAGTGGTAATAGTGTGCTACAGAAAGGAAGATGTTGATGTTCCAATATGATAATTGGGCTCACCGTGGCCACCAGAGGACATGGCTTGCAAATAAGAACTATTCAGTAAAAAGACTGGTATCCACCAGCTTGGACTAGGCTAGAATTATAGGACTGGAGTAGCCAGGAGCAAGCAAAAAGGAAGGTTTAAAAGTGTGATTTGACTTAGGAGCATCAATGATGGCTTGTACACACTGGGACTGGTAGAATGGAAGGAAGGGAGCCCAGAGCCAATGACAGACAGAGCCAACTACTTTTTGGCCCAGTCCTCCTACCTGCTGCATTCTACAAGGACTGAGACCCAGGAGGAGGAAGGTGACAGCCAGTACCACTCCCTGGACTGGTTGTAAGCAGGAAGAAAGTTGGCTGAGGGCTTACTGAGATTTGCTCTAATGAAGCAGCCTGCACTGGGAGGAGCTACCCAAACATCCCCTGGTTTGAAAGACTGCATATTTGTCCAGAGAGTTAAAGGGCGATCTTTTCTTTCATTCACCATAATTTCCGTATGCCCTTCATGCTGACATGTGATCTGACAGTGCTTAAGTGAGACTGAGCTGAAGGGTAAAGATAGTAGATAAGATTGTAAGCCAAAAGGTAGTTTAGGTTAAATGGTGAGCCTGCAGGTAGGGCCTGCCCTTTTCACTCTTCATCAGCCCAACACTTTGATGTGTGTGCTGTATGTGCAGTAAATATAATTGGTGTATCTGAAATTCTGGAGGGCATGGATAAGGTGAAAGCTTGGGAACCTAGGAGGCAGGAGTATGGGCAACAGTGGAGACTAGATAGGGGCATGAATGGGGATCCTTGGAATTGACTGGAAAGGGAAGGAAACAGTGAAATAACAGGTAGGTCTGTGGGGTCTTGGTGGTGGGAATACACCAGCAGAGTTCAGGGAGCTGCAAGTGCCCCCACTGTTGACTTTCCCCCAACTGTGTTGCTTTTGTTTTTCATTTTGCAGATGGCCCAAAAGCTCCTCCTCAGGCCATTCCTCTCCATCCCTGCCAAGCAGCTCTCTGCACCCCTCCGTTCACCTTTGCTTCTCTGCCGGGTTTCGGCTGCACCCTGCAATCTCACCTGGCGCCTGCCCGTCCCCTTCACTACTGTGCCTGCAACTACTAGGACATTTTCCACTACTTTGGTCTTCAGGCACACCTTTAACATCCAGGATGGGGATGACTTCCAAGACAGAGTTCTGAAGAGTGAGAAGCCGGTGGTGATTGATTTCCACGCCCAGTGAGTGCGGAGGGTTTTGTTTCTCCTTGGCTTAAAGTTGTCGGCATCAGTTCCTGCCTGATCACTAGTTCATGTGTGTATTAGACCACAATGTGCACAAATGCACACCTTGGATAAATGGTGTGGATGGTCCAGTCCTCTGAGTTCCCTTCTAGCTATGAAGTGATTGTAGGGTGATAGTGACATGCAACATGTCCAC